ATCTTTCACCTTTCTTTTATTTTTTTTCTCTTATATTGCAACGCCTTGCCAATTGCTATTGCTTTTGCCTACATTTATGACCCTGCCACCAAATTCCTATCCACTATTGTTAATGCCATTACTATTTGCCATTACCATTGCCATCTGCCATCTATTGCTATTATTGCAGTCCACTTTAGATTCCTATTTTTTTTATAAAAAAAAAAAAAAAAAAAAAAAAAAAAAAAAAACTCTCCAAAATTTTTAATATTTTTGATTTCAAATTTGATCTTATTTTATTATTTGACTTTATATTTCAAGGTATATTTTACTCAACCTTTTCTATTTGATCTTGTATTTTTTCTCAAATTTATTTTTTTTGAGTGCTTTAATATCTTCAACTACCTCTACTATGTTTTTAATTATTACTACTACATTCTAATATTTTCAAGCTCTTTTATTTCTATTATTGGATATTAATAGAAATATCTATTAATAGAAAAAATTAACTTTATTTATAAAAAAATTCTTGGATGTAATTCTGTTTGAAGAATCTCTTACTGTAAGTACATCTATTCTTCTTAGTATCTGTTAGAAAGCACTTCTTATCCTTTGTCGTCATCTTGTACCTACATTGCAACATCAATATTTGAAAATGGAAGTTTCAGCCAAGCTTTGGAAGAATCTTAAATCTAGATTTGATCATCAAAAGAATATTTTTCTTTTGCATGCATGTCATAATTAGACATATTTATGTATCTTGAATTTTCAAAATTTTAATGCTTTCAATAATAAAATATATTATATTATTTCACAACTATAGTTGTATAGATAAAGCATCTCTAAAGAAAAAATGATTGAAAAAATTCTTTTTATATTTCTTCTTATATCTACTATACTTATACAAAAATATAGGAGCATAAAATTTTGAAGTCATCAAAATCAAAAAGTGTCCAAAAATAACAAAATGGTCTAGATATTGGATTAATAGGACCACAAATATCACCATACAATCTTTTAAGCATTTTGATAATTCTTATAGAAGTTTCTAAATTTAAGGCCAAGCAATCATCTTACCTTGCATACATACACAACATAATTTTATAGAATCTACATCTATAGATTTTAAATTATATATAGTTATACATAGAATTATCTTCCAAAATAGTATGGAACTTGGATGTTTCAATCATCCATACCATAGATAAACGTCACTCTTTGTGGTAGATGATGCAAAATTAAATATAATAGGAGGCTGGATTGTAATTTGATATAAACCATTTATTATAACAAAGGCTTTTTCAATAACTTTATGATTCTATAGAAGAACCAAAACCTCTTGCCTATCTAGAATGGCAATTGAGATGTGTTAACCATTGACATACATATCTTAGTAGCTAATCAAACTTCAAGGTATTGAAGATATAAACATTATATATTTATATATTATAATAGAGCCTATAGATGATTTTATCATTACTATTTTTTCTTAGAAATAAAACACATTTGCTCGAGCAATGGTCATTAAATTTTTAGTTTGCTAAATTGAGGACTTTTTAGTATAAAATTGTCTATCCTATAGGATAATATGTATTATTACAAAATCAATGAGTGCATCATTTGACTTATCATTAGAGGTTTTATCATTCATATAAGCCTCTAAATCATCAATATCAATTGAGTCCATGGATGTATCTATGGTATGAACTTCAGAAGCCTCAACTTGAATTTTTTTATTTTTTTAGAATATTTTAACAAAATATTTTGAAGTACGGCACACATGTCTTAAATATCCAACCATGCCAAATTTATGGCAAGAATATATTTTTTATTTTTATTTTTTATTATAATTAGTAGTAGAATGTTTATTTTTTTCATATAAGTAAAAATGGTCATGACTATGACTACCTCATGCTTATAAGCATCTTTTTTATATTTATATAATTTTTTCTTAGACTTTGAAATATTAAGTACATAAAATTTTAGAATCATGGTTTCAAAGGGACGACTTTATGAAAAAGTAACTAATAGTTAACTTGATCTAATATACCTCTATCCTTCTTTTCTTAAAATTATTATACCACAAGAGCTCATTTCAGGTCTTATTCCTAATATATCTCACTTACAAATGTTTGATTGTTATACTTAGATTCTAATACCAGAACCATAACAATGCACTATTGGAGCTCATTGACAAAAAGGCATATATATTGATTTTAATTTATCAAGCATTATTTGTATTATTGATCCATCAACTAACACATTATTATATACACATTTTCAAAATTATTGTTCTAAAGAGAATGTATTTCCATCTTTTTGAAGAGGAGTATCTAATCAACAAAAAAATATAATACTTGTATTTGGAGCATCTAAAATATTTACAATGAATTATGATCCTAAAATATTTTTGAGTAAAAGTGAAGTTAAGATTTTATATCTAAAACGGCTCACAAATAAAATACTTCATGGCTTCAATAATGCGCCTTGGATTACAAGAGTTCTTATTAATGAGGCTCAGAATGTACTTATTCAAATTACAATACTACTAAATAATATACCTCAAGTTATAACATCAAAAATTAAAATGACTTGTGGACCAGATAAGCAACCATATAAGAAGAAGGCTATAACATGCTTTGATTCTAGTAATATTTTTGTAGAAATTCCTATTAAATTTATGGAACCATCAATTAATGATGATATGTCTATGTAAATTATATCTTCACCTTATCCAATAGAAAATCTTAATATTAAGATAATTAAAACCAAGTTGAGTATAGAATTATCTATTTTATATTCTACTACGAATAACATTTGGAATAATCCATCTATTATAATAGATAAATCATTTGTAAGCATGATTAAAGAAGTTATTTCTTATGAAAAAAGAGATCTTAAATCTCAAACCATTGAGAAAATAATGCATCACTTTGACTTGTTAAAATAGAAAAAATGTCATCAAGAAAAAAAAAAAAAAAAAATCTTTGGTCCAATTGTGGATACTCTTACATATCGCCTTATAGGATATAAGATGGTATTAGTACACAAGTAAGATGCTAAAGGTCAAATAACCTATTATAAAGCTCTTCTTCTTTTCCAAAGATTTATCCAACGATTTGGCATTGATTATAAATCCATATATTTTTCAATTATGGATTCAATTATATTTTGATATATTATTAGAATGACAATCTATATCACCCTTGAAATGCATCTTATAGATGTGATAACTGCATATCTTTATGGTTTTCTTGATGTAGATATTTATATGAAAGTTTCACTTGGTTTGGAAATAGAAACTCCAAATGCACCTATTCCAAGTCAATATCATGGTATTAAATTACACAAGGCCCTATATGGTCTAAAACAATCTAAACACATGTAAAATCAATGTTTCTAAGATTATTTAATTACAAATAAGTTTATAAGTAATCTACTAATCTTTTATTTATTTATCAAAAAAAATAAAACTAGTTTTGTGATCATTGTTGTGTATGTTGATGATCTTAACCTAATGGATATTAGATTTGCATGTATTGCAATTATTAATCTATTTATCTCCAAATTTGAAATAAAAATATTACAAAAAATAATTTTCTACATGAGACTTCAAATTAAGCATCTTACAGATGATAGCATTTTTTTCTATGAACTAACGTATATCAGATAAATCTTGTAAAGATTCAATATAATTGATGCTTATTTATTGTTAATACCAATGGTTGGATGTAGTCATGATGGTGACAATCTATACCATCCATGTGAGGAAGAAGAAGAAATGTTAGGAGATTAGTATCTATACCTCATAGCGGTTGGAGCACTTTTATATTTAGCCATATCTACAAGACCAAATATTATATTTACAGTTAGTATTCTTGTAAGACACACTGCATGTCCAATACTACAACATTAGAATGGTATCAAATATTTATTACATTATTTAAAAGACATTGAAGACTTGAAAATATATTACACTTAATCTATAGATCTAAAATTGATTAGATATTAAAAATGTAGAATATAAATTTGATATTACAATAGCTAAATCTCAAATAGGATATATATTCTTAAAACATGGAGTTGTAATATCATGGAAATCACTGAAACAAATTATAACTATAACTTCATCCAACCTTGTAGAAATTATTACCTTACATGAAGCATCTTGAGAATATATTTAGTTACAATCAATTGATAAACTCATTCAAACAACCTATGTATTTTCATATGATGATTTTCTAACCATTTTACATAAAGACAATAGTGTTTGTATTATACAAATGCAAGTTGGTTTCATTAAAGGCGACAAGACAAAGGATATTCATCCAAAATATTTTAGTTATATCCATGACTTGGTTATTAATCAAATACTTAAGATTAAAAAAAATTAATCTATAAATAACCTTGTTGATCTCCTCACCAAAGTTCTTTCTTTGTGCAACCATTGTTAACTTATTTATGGCACTAGCATGAGGCGATTTGCTTCTCTTAAGCAAGAAATTTAATGAACTTTTCAAATAATTACAAAAAGTAATGTTGTACTCTTTTTCCTTCATCTATGGTTTTTGCCCTTGAATGCAATAAGGTATTTCCAAATAAGGTTTTAATGAAGCAGAGGTTGTTGATCATGCAAGATTACAAAAAAATATAAATCATAATTCTATGCAAATTTTATGATACATAAATATTGTGATGAGCGAGGAGTGTTGAAACCATTAAATGTAACCAATGCTCTCCATAACATTCACTGTAGTTACAATAAATATTGTAGCTTCAGTGTTTAGAATGTAGTGGGGAGAAACTGGTTATCTTCTCCCTTTCTCTTTGTATACAAGTGAGACAACCACATCAATACATAGTTTTGTTTAGAAACTCTATTGTGTATACATTACTTCTAGCTGCTCTTGTGTCTCTAAAACATTCTCAACAAAAGCCACGTTGCTAGCAGAGTCTAGTGCAATTTGGTTGGTATGAAGCAGTAAAATAAAGGCTAGGGGGGAATGGGTACAGTTTGACTGTAATGGCCCGGCAGACCTCGTCTCACCAAGTTGCAGGCCGGTGGAGCTTCGAATTTTGCATGAGACAGAGACGAAGTCTCTAGTGCTCCAACGAGCTTGTTTTGTGGACCCCTTCAACAGCATCTACGGCCTCAACATGGCATGTTTCGGAAGGACAGAGAAGTCCACGTGAACAGTATCGACGATTGAATGTGTTATTTAATCCTCCGTATGATGAACGCCCCTACATCCGAAGAACAGCTTGGAAGAGTTGACTGAAACGTGATCACGCGTTGATGCGTTTTTATTATCCCCATTTTTACCAGAGTCGGCCAAACCGGGTGCAAAAAATTGTTCATGTTTTGCAGCGACTGGCCTGTTCTAAAATTGCGCCGTTGTCGTGGAGATTGGATTCCATTCCGCCGAGAAAGAAAAGAATGTGTAGTCCTTAAGCAGCAGTGTCTTCGTGGATAAGAATCGGGGACCAGTGATGAGAGAAGAGTAGGCTTGAATCGTCCCACTCGTAGCAGTGGGACCGATACCTCATGACACAGGACCTAGCCATGCTTGATCACATGCTCACTCTGTCACTTAATCATGGCCGCAACCATTTGTCACAGTCCCTAAACAACTCATGGATGGGACGAGGATTCTCACACCTCAATCCTTGTCTGGGCAAATGCAAAACGAAAGCATCTCCATAGCAACCACTTGTAAATATTTTTTTGGAATTTTTTTGAACGTTTGTTTGACCTGTGTTGGTGGAACGGATTTGGATGTCTCAGCGTCAACCAGAAGGCCAGGGGAACCATTTGTCAGCAAGTAGTGTCATTATGAACAAATGGACACATGCACGTGAAATAGTTAATGTATGCGTTGCTGACACTTCAATTGGTGATTTGCGACTAGCAGTTTTTTTGTTTTTGTTTTTTTGTTTTTTTTTTCTCTCTCTCTCTCTCGCTCTCTCTCTCTCTCTCTCGCTCTCTCTCTCTCTCCCTGTCTCTCTTTTGTATCCGTGTATGTACCATTAACAAACTCGCGAAGATGAGGACATTCATTCGCGACAGACAATTGTTACCACATAGCTCTCATTTTTTAAGTTATGAGTCATGACTTCCTGCAAGTTTGGACGGTCCTTTTGTTTCAAGTTGGAGGAACTGGATGCAGGGCAAATATTCCAGTTGAACAGCTACTGTCTGGCGCGCCTTAACTGTATTAACTACCTGTGGTTGCGTTCCTCCAGGGCCGGGAATTTGCGAAAATCACGTGGCTTCATCGTATCCTTCAATCAAATGTGACGAGAGTTCTCACATGTGAACTGTGTGTGCAGAATCGCCTCCTTGCCTCATTGGAAATTGCCTCGACGGTTAACCTAATTTCAGAGGATTTCCACTCTTATGCATCTTCTGTTCCACAAGCGTTGGATTCTCTGCAGTGCACTTGGTCCAACATGAGTACACGCGGATCCCTAACAAATTGAGCGCGGTCATTTTGGTTTCAAGCGGGAGCTATGAAGAGGCTTTGACTTCATCGTTAATCCGGAGAGCTATTTTGAGAGAAAAGATCGCAGTGAACTCGCGGATGCGAAGCTTTTCCCAAACGGACGGACGATCGTGGTATGCAGAGCTTCACACACATGGGATTTCAAATTCTACCACAATTCATGTGAGTTTCAGTTAGAAGCACGTCATTAGAATGGATCCTCGAGGTGGTCCACGGCCCAGCCCGTACAGCATCCTAACACTGGATGCTTCCACGTCGAACCCAGTGCGCCCGTCGCAGAGGCTCTCACCAGAAGCTGGCGGTTACATCGAAACCATTACACGAGGTGCATTGAAACCTAGCACCAATTACGCCTCTGGAACCGCACAACAGTTTGCTGGAAGCTCACAACAATATGCTCCCAGCAAAGCCACAAGCGCAGGGTTCGAATTTCAAAAGTACAAGAAAAACGTTGATTCGTATGACATCCATGATCGGGATCCGCCGCCTTATGACGAACATGACTTACATGAAATACATCCTGCTGAAGCCCGACCAAAAGTTGGTCACGCGGTTGTCGAACTTCATGAGGCCGGACCTTTTACAGACGAGCATCAACCTGAAGCTATTCAGACAATGGTCAAGATGGTCACGATGTTGAACTTCATGAAGGTACCACATCACCTTTTTTCCTGTTGCTGGTCTCAATTCCTCTTCATTGGTGTCGTTACAGTCAATTTTAATGATACATAAAGTTATCTGTATTAACAAAGAGAGAACGATTGGAAAATCAATATGAGAAATGAATATGTATCCCGATAGTAACATGAGAGATTCCTGAACTTAAACGAAATCTGTGCATTTTTCATATGCAGGTTGAGCTAGGAGACCATAAAACGTTGCGGTCCAAGGAGCAGTGGCGGGCTGCGGCAGCTGAATTTATCGGCACGATGCTGTTCGTGTATCTCGGATGTGGGTCAGTTATCGCATCAGGCATGTTTGTGCTTCTCTACATTACTCTACCGAAGAATTTGACTGGTGGTTCTGTGAAGAGATTTAACGTCATCTGAAGGAATGTTCTCTAGGGAGATTGATGCGAATACGAGAGAGATGCAACAGTCGTAATTGGTACAGATGAAGTCACTAAAATTTGGTGCCAAAAGCAGAGGACACGAGGGGAATTTAACACGTCGAAGCAAAACTCTTCGAGATGTTCACTCAAATTGGTGGTTGCAGGAATGATATCACGAGATATGACCTGTGCAAGGTTGGTCGTCATAGCTGTAGCCCATGGTCTTGCAATCTGTTGTCTGGCAGCTGCCACTGGCGCCATTTCAGGCGGTCACTTGAATCCTGCCGTTACTCTGGCCTTTGTTGTGGCTGGGAAGGAAACCCTAATTCGTGCTGGCTTGTACATAGGTGCTCAGGTATGAGATCGATCACGTCTACCACTTTCACTCTCCCAGTTTCAAAACTTGAGAGGGTCGATGCCATGGCATTTTAAGAATGCGAATGAATTACAATATATTCTGAAATGTGGGCTGACAACCTAGTTTGATGTTGAACTGTTCACTGATTGATCTCTCCTACAGAATGTGCTAAGAATCATACTTGTGCACACGTTGGTTCTAAGATGTGTGTACATTAGAGCGGATTTATCTGCCGCTTCTGCAGCTATTCGGTGCAATTATTGGAGCATGGTTGATCCAATCTTCTACCCCCGGCTACTTGCAGAGGGGTTTGGGCTCTCATGACATTGATAAGAATGTGTTCGACAGTCAAGGTTTGTTGATGGAGATTGTGCTCACATTCATGCTCATATTTGTCGTTTTCGGTGTGGCTGTTGACCGCCGTGGACCTGGTTAGTTTGAAACATGGCTTTTTGAAAAGTGACTAAATAAATCTCCGTTTGTTTTTGTTTCGTGCCTGAGTGATGATTTTCTCCATAATTCTGCTAGTAATGAAATGATGCACTCGTTTGAATGGATTCCTTGTCTTACAAAGCTCGATAACAACGTAACAAATTCCCTTCCCCACCTGTTTGCAGGCGTCATTGCACCGATACCCATTGGTTTTGCTGTTTTAGTGGATCATTTGGTAGGAGTGCCCTACACGGGAGCATCCATGAATCCTGCGAGAAGCTTTGGCCCTGCGCTAGTGAGTGGCCATTGGGGTCGTTCTCATATCATCTACTGGTTTGGTCCTTGCTTTGGAGCTTCCCTGGCTTCAGCAATCTACAGGTACCCGGACTAATGCTTCGAAGCTTTGAGAGGCATCGCTGGAAACTAGCATGATGGAAATTCATAATTCTACCTGAGATGCAGATGGTTTTATCGTGTCACCAATGTAGGAGCAATTTCTTCACTAATTCAGGATTTTCTTTGAGGTGAGTTGTTGTGCAGATTAGGGTTTTTGGAGCCCAGCTTAGCTAAACCTCTGGAAGCATCAAAAATCGGCAAAGCTCCTGAAAGAGCAATGCAGTGAGAGTGGCAGTGACGCATCTCAGTTTGAACTTCACTTCACGCCCATGGTGAATCTACAGCA